TCAGCACGGATAGTGCGCGCAACATGATTGCAGCGTCTAGGTAGCTCCCGTTCGAGCATATGCCTTGAGTTGCACATAGCTCCAACGATCCATCACAGTATATATACACACACACACACACACACACACACACACACACACACACACACACACACACACACACACATACCATGTATACATCACTTCAGGGGACATTACATTGACTTACATGCATTTCCTGGAGACTTATCCTAACCTTAACCATAACCAACACATGCCTAACCCTAACCCTAAACCTAATCAAGTCTTCACCCTAAAATTAAGGATGCCCCTCATGGGGACCTCCAATTTGTCCCCATAAGGGAGGCGAGTCGCCACACGTGACTGTGTAAACAGATTTAGGTCCCCACAAGCATAGTAATGCTAGGCCACACACACACACACACACACACACACACACACACACACACACACACACACACACACACACACACACACACACACACACACACGCACACACACACACACACTTTGTATTATTGTATGAGAGAGGTTCCAGGTTGAATTGAGGCGAATATTTGTAATGTTCAGAGGTTGTTGTGTTTAATATTCGTGAGAATATTTGTCATTGTTCAAATGATAATAAACAAACATTTGCATAAAGCATATTTGTCCACTCATATGTTGATAAGAGTATTACAAACTTGAAAAATATCCCTCTAAGGTACATTTAGAACAGAAAAAAAATGTGCGATTAATTTGCGATTAATCGCGATTAACTATTTTAATCGACTGACAGCCCTAATTGTATTACATTATTGCCTCTGCATTGGATTATTATTGGATAGGGTAATAACTTCATAATTAACTACGTCTGAAAGCAGAAGTCTAGACTTGCAAATAATTGCAAGTCTATTCAGTGAGAATGTCAAAATATGATTTAAAAAGAAAAGCCAAGAGACATTTTGAAAAAAAAGTAACATTTTGAAGACAAAAATCTATTTATGAAAAAAAGGCAAATTCTAAGAAAAAAGGCATATTTTGAAGAAAAAAAGTCACATTCTGAGAAAAAGTCAAATTTGAGATGCATTGTGGGACATGTATTTTATGGGCAACGTGCTTCTGTAAAGTAGCATGTAACCGTATAATAAACATATTATATTCTTTGCAAGCTCTTGTGGGGACACATAAAATGAAGTTGCGGGCCGGATTTGGCCCCCGGGCCTTGAGTTTGACACCCCTGGCCTAGAGGGACCTGACGGCTCGCTTGCTATAAATTCTTTTTTAAGGTTTTAAGGTCTTGTTTTATTCCATTCTGAGTGTATAGACTTCTGTTGGAATAAAGTGTTTTCATCAATCACCATTATCTTTTGTAGATGAAAAAGTGTGACGTAAATAAAGTTTTATTTATTTTTTCTGAAATGATAACTGTTATCAGAAATAAAAACGATTTAAATCCCCCTATTCTTTATCTAGCGCTATTACCAAGTTCTACAGTACTTTGGATTATGACCAATGTTTCAACCGACTACAACAATGGGGGGGCCAAAGTGGCGGTCTACGACAGATAAAACATCTAGTAAACACATACAACAGTTTGTAAGGATGCACTGAAAGAGCAGTGAGGCTTTTCATTTCAGAATGCTCACCCTAAGGGTTTATCTAATACAAGTCAATGCACTTTGAGTGGAGCCTTTATGATGGGACCCCACAGTGAACCCATCTCCCCATACTGTGCACAGCAGAGTTATAACAAGTATTCTGATGTCTCAGGCAGAGAAACCAGATCCTGCACTATCAGGTGTCCCTGGGCTCCAGAACCCCCCCCCCCTCCACCTGTGGGGCCCATCCACCTGCCATCCACTCAACCACCTGCCTTTTTAATCCTGTCCACCAACAGAAAGGGTTTGGATGTGGGGGGTCCCCTCATGACACAGCACTTCACTGATCCTCACGTATCATGCAGGGTTGGAATAACTAACAAGTTCAGAGGTTAAATCACAACTGTGTGTTGAGAAGATGTTGAGTATCAAAGCTGCTCTCAGAGTTTAGGAGAGGAATTAGGCCGTTCGTTTGATAACACATCAGATATACTGTAATGCTCATACTCTCAAAGAAATGTTGAAACAAATATCAAACAGAAAGTCAATTAGCCAGCAATAATTTCATTTCAAGTTTCATGGGAGGCAGAATGACAAGGTTCGTCTGTAGATAATGTTTAAAGATATGGACATATAAATGAGACAAGAAAAGAGGAGAGAGAGAGGGAAAGGAGAGGAGGAAACAAGGTTGGCAAATAGGGAAGAAGCGGAAACAAAAGAAAGGGGAAAAAGAGAACGTGTTAGTAGAGAAGAGGAGAGGATAAAACAAAAAGCGGACAGAATCCTCAAACATTAACTGGCACTCAGCATAAATGAGCTGATGTGTAAACAGAAAGTTATGTAACGGTCATATTAACAATTAAATGGTTTCTGTATCCCTGGAGGTACATTTATTTGTGTCCATGTGTAAAAATAGTTTTAATTGAAAATAAATGTAATTAAAAGTGTTACATTGTAATCTTGGTATTACATGGGTTTAATATGGGTACAATAGGGGTGTTATAACAGAAGTAATAATAGTGTAATTACGGGTAATATGGGTGTAACATGGGTGTAACATGGGTCCAATTATAGTGTGACATGGGTATAATAATGGTATGTGGTGTAACGGGTGTAACAGTGGTGTAACAGGGTTGTACTTAATAGGGGTATATTAATGTGTAATAAGAGTGTACAAACGGTGTGATATTGGTGTAACATATAGGAATCAGTTAATTTTCAAAAATATTGAATGCCCATGTAAGGGTTAAGATGTTTCATGCAAGGCAGACATGTTTAAAGATGTGGACACATTGGAAGCTTCTGCTCCTGGGAAGGCTGCTGCAAAGCCAAGAAGTTTCTTAATAACTCACAGTGTACAAGGCAAACGTGGGGTAAAGGCTCAGGATAACTAACACAGATCATTGGGTAAATGTTAGAATAGTAAGGCAACAAACCGTTAAACAAACTGTAGATACTGCTCTGCATCTCACTATATTTAGATCCTCTAAATGTATAACAGTACTCCTGCAGCCCTGTCATGGTGTCAGCACGTCACCTCTCACATATCTGCCTGCATGCTAAAATGTCAAGATGTGTTGGCTTCAGGAAGCACGAGAGCTGCTCCCGGGCTGCTGATTGCAGTTCAAAACATCTGGATTTTCCAGAACATAACCATAATGTTCTATGAACAAGTGATACATGACATTGTTGTTCTAAAGGTTGCAGGCATGGTTGGTGGAGAGATTCGTCTGATGATGTCACACTCGTGTAATCAGGGATATTTGAGTCCACGTGTTTTACAGAAAGCTTTCTGTATAAACTGAGGTGCATTTTGGGATAGTTACTCAAAGTAAGGATACCTGAGCTGATTTGATTTGAATCATATATTTCTATATTTGTGTAAACCTATTGGTGATGTGAAAAATGAGCAAGCCGGATGGAACTATGTTCTTTTAAAATATGATTGATATGAGAGAGAAATACGGTTTCAGTCACTGATTTACATCTAGTGCCACTTTACTGAATTTATGTTCAGAGGAGAGCAAACCAAAGAGACAATCACACGGACTGCCTTCAGTGTGTGGATAAAGGTTGATGACAGTTTTAGCAGCTGCTTGACTCTTTTCAGCACATCAGCCAAGAGAGACAAGAAGGAGGAGGAAGGAGGAAGGAAAGGGGAGGAGAGGAGGAAACAAGGAAAGAGAATAGAAGAGAGCAGAAGGGAACCAGAAAACCTTCCTTAGTCCCACAGCGGGGACATTTACAGCGTTACAGCAAAAGGACAAATACAAATAAAACAAGTTTGCTAAAAGTTTGTATTACATACAGAGACATAAACAATTAAGACAGATTTTTTTTTTAAATAAGCATTTGAAAAGCTAAGTGAACATAGGTGTTGAGATTGTGTATTGTGCATAAGAGTCATTATTGCACTATTTCTGTAATGGAAGGAGAAGGGAGGCTGCAACGAGAAACAGAAGAAGGGAAGAGGAAAGGAAAAGAGGAGAGGCCACGCCGGGCCACACCTAAACATCACAACTCCACAGATCACACACAAGCTGAGATGCTGTAGCTATAAGAAAGCAAACACACACCACTAACCAGTCCCAGTGCCTCCTGCTGGAAACCAGTGAAACCACCAGTTCAAGCCACTAGTACACAGCCAGTACACAGAAAACACCAAGTCAATGGTCCACGCCACAGAGAGGTGTTCAGATCATACGCCTGGGTAATGAGACACAGAGTGTGCTGTGATTCCAGAGGCATGGAGTTGTGATCTCATGCAAAGGAAGAGTGTGTGTGTGTGTGTGTGTGTGTGTGTGTGTATGTGTGTGGCCTACCATTACTATACTTGTGGGGACCTAAATCTGTTTTCACAGTCACATGTGGGGACTCGCCTCCCTTATGGGGACAAAATGGAGGTCCCCATGAGGGGAATCATTAATTTTAGGGTGAAGACTTGGTTTAGGGTAAGGTTAGAATAAAGCTCCAGGAAATGCATGTAAGTCAATGTAATGTCCCCTGAAGTGATGTATACATGGTATGTGTGTGTGTGTGTGTGTGTGGAGAGAGAGAGAGAGAGAGAGAGAGAGAGAGAGAGGAGAGAGAGAGAGAGAGAGAGAGAGAGAGAGAGAGAGAGAGAGAGAGAGAAGAGAGAGAGAGAGAGAGAGAGAGAGAGAGAGAGAGAGAGAGAGAGAGAGAGAGAGAGACAATGGGATCATGCAAATATGAATCAAATGTGTGGCCCCAGGCAGGCACAGGGTAAGATGTAGGCGCGGCTGGGAGACATGCGCTCGGCTGATGATCTGTAGCATTGCACAAGCAGGGGAGGAACGGGAGGGAACACCGGGGCTTTATTAGCGTGTGTACCCCGGTAAAGGTGTAGAGTAATCCCTGCTGCTCCCCGACAGAGAAACAGACAGAAGAGAGGAGACTTACTTGTTAGAGATCTCTTCCACATGGACAGTAAACGGCTCTGTTTCTCTCTTCTGTTCCCTCTTTGTTTCTGAGCGCTAAAACCGATCTTTGCGGGCGGCGAAATCCAGAGTCCACCGAGCAGCTGCCGGGGAGAGAGCGACGGTGTGAGTGAGAGCAGAGAGAGGAGGGCAAGAGGGAGAGAGCGACGGTGTGAATGAGAGCAGAGAGAGGAGGGAGAGGAGGGAGAGGAGGGAGAGAGCGACGGTGTGAGTGAGAGCAGAGAGAGGAGGGAGAGGAGGAGAGAGAGAGAGGAGAGAGAGAGAGAGGAGGAGAGAGAGAGAGAGAGGAGAGAGAGAGAGAGAGAGGAGGAGAGAGGAGGGGCAGAGGAGGGGCAGAGGAGTCTCTTCAGCACCACTCCGCTCTGATCAGCTCCCACTGACGTCACTGCCTGGCTACGACGCCACGCCCACTTCCCTACACACACATTATAAGCTGTATGTTATACATGCTGCATATCTCTGCCACTTTAAATATTCCCACATTTTTATTTGTCAGAGTAAATGATCATATTTTGATTGTGCTTATTTGTGTATATTTATATTCTTATTTATGTTCTATATTTTAATTGTATCATAGTTTTGAGACATGTTTGTGGCACAGCAGCATGTAAACAAGGCATTGCACGGGAATAGAAAAATAAATTAAAACGTTTTAAAAAAGTAATGAGGATATTCTTCAGATTTAAAAAACACTACAGCATTAAGCAGCCCCAATAGATATGCTTACAACTATAGTTGCTACGCTGCTTCAAAACTATTCTCTATTCAATGACTTCTAATATTAAACGTGTGTCAGGTCCAAACTGCTCCACTTGGGTCACCAGAGACACGCCCAGAAAGTGAGAACAGTCCTCCAGATTCTACATGTTCTCTGGTGAAAATAAACCTCTCTCAAAGTGTACAATTCTTTGTGCACGCTATTTTCACAACATGTTTAACAAATGATCCTGATGCAAAGTGGTGGGGACATGTCCCCATGCAGCGTCCCCAGGACAAAGACACCTATGGTATAGACTAGAGTATCTCTATTGAATATACAATATTACAATTATTATAATAATATTATTACAAAAAATTATTAATATATGCACATTTTAAATATTATCTGTGAACATTATGATAAGCAGTCAGATATCATGTATTCTTTTTGTACTTACTTTTTTGTATATTTGTATTTTTTGTTAACATTTATCTTTGAGTTTTTTTAAATATCTTTTGACTTATTATTAATTTATTTGTTCCTTTTTTTCCAAATACATTACTTGTATTCTGTTTATGTAGCATCATTGTACACCAAAGCAAATTCCTCATACATAAATAAGGTAAATAGTAAATACACCTTATTCTGACCCTAATGAAGTTACATTAGTACTGTGTTAATGTTCATACGGTTTGATGTCTTAATGCTTATGGACATGGGAAACACACCGAGGACATCTAATGGACAGGTGAGGAATAGCAGAGTCATAAAAACACAAAGAGGGAATGTTAGAAGCTCCAGAAAGCCCTGAAGGACACAAGGAAGTGGAGCACACATTCAGAAGATTTAAGAAGGATCAGGGAACATGATGGCAGAGAGTCTGATTCAACACTGAGTCAAATGATGCAGCAAGGATGTACTGTACTCGTTATATGATTATGAATGTTATGGATGGACTTGTTTACCTGTTACTTTGGACTTGATTCCTGGCCAAGCTACGGTACTGATCCAGTTTGATTTCAGCTGCATCACTTTACATATTGTATCTATTCAAGGTCTGAACACACATGAGCAAAACGTGTCATTATTCTGCACTTGCTGGAGGAAATAATAACACAATCAAACACTTCAACATCACTCTCAACAAAAACTGAACAGATTGACAAAAGTAGTCTATATCAGACGGCTGTGCTCATGATCTACACCTTAGAGATGTCAACTCAGTAGACTGCATCCTTGCATCATTATTCGAGCTGGCAGAACAACATCTGAAAGAAGTGAGGATTTACTTTTTGGAGAGGACAGAGGCCTTGAGTGTGTGTTTCTCCTGTGTGATGTTTCAGCTGCCAGGCCTGCTGTGGACTTTGAAGAGAAGAGAGTGGAGGCAGTGAGGGATTGTGGGGGCTGACATGGTGCTGGCTGGTGATCTGTGAGTCAGATTGTGTCCGAGGTGATGTTCCTGCAATGTGTGAGCAGCACCTGGCCTCAATGGATGGCTGAGTCCTTCACAACACAATCTATATTGTCAATAAAAAGCCTCACAAATCTGAATGAAGAAAATGCCATATAAGTAAAAGTGTTGGAACACAAACCATGTTCAAATGTATTCATGTGTGAGGTTATGGGGTATTGAAGGGTTGTGACATTTAATAATGAAGTGTTGTAATATAAAACAGATCAGGGAGGTTTTAAGATGACTGCAGTTAGTGGGTGGGGGACATTATAGGGGTCTCTGTAATAAAACTCATAAAAACCTGCAGTGTACCTATTTGGACCTGGAATTGTACTTACATGTATATTTTTAAAATATCCATAATTATTCAAATGGTATATATTTAAAAAAAAAAAAAGTTTTATAACTATTCCATGTGTGAACTCTTCCTGTACTATCCTGTGTTTCTATCTTGTTACTTTTGCTGCTCAAACAACCTGAATGGCCTACAGGGATCACACATAATAATAATAAATCCCCAAATACATTTGAACAAATATACACATGACTAGTTGCAGTTGCAAGTATAAGTGAAAGTCTGATATTCACCCAGACAGGTTGTCTTTATTTTCAATGACATGGTTAGCCCCTCCTTATGAGCTTTTTCCAGCCTGTCATTGGCTGTTGTTGCTGTTCACTTCCTCCCCTCTGATGGTGATGGAGGCCCCTCCCTCTCCGCCTGTACTCCACCATCAGCTCCTGGGTCTTTCTGATGTCGAGCTGGAGGTGATTGATGTCACACCGTCAAAGATAATGTCACCCTGTTACACTATGAGTATTTTAAAGGTAACGAACACCCAGCACAGACAGGGCTTTTTATGGCTTTGACTGTGCTCTGAAATAAGGCTCAATGTAGCCCACTGAAGGGGCTCACACACCGGGGGGATGCCATGCATTACACATTAGATAATAGAAAACATATCACATCTCTGGACATAAACTGATTTGAAGTTGCCACAACGATGGTGTGTCTTTCTCTTGTAAATTGTAAAAAGTCCTGCAATCAAATGTAAAGTAAAATAAAGTAAAGTAAAGTAAAATTACAAAAGTATTAACATCAAAGTATACTTCTGTCTGAAAAGTAGTACTTATTGCAAGTTGGGGTCCATTTCCGAATCATTTAATAACTGGATTATAATTGTTGATGCATCTATCACAGCTGGTATGTCGATCTTGTTTTAGTTACTTTGTTGCTGTATATTCTTAACCTATAATGGCTGTTGCATTAGCTCATTTAGTAAAGTAACAAGTAACATAGGCTTTCAAATAAATGTAGTGGAATACAAAGTACAATATTTGCTTCCCAAATTCAGGATGACATTTTCATGCATTTCTTGTCTTTCCTTAGCATAATGCAACATCAAGCTATAACAGGATCTCTAGGAGAGTTCCGGAACACTAGGTGCTCAACTGTATGATGAAGCATTGTATTAAGATGCTTTGGTTACATTTGCTTGAACACAAAAAGTAATGATATGTTTCCCCTACTCTTTTCCCCATCTAGTATACTTAGCTTATTTGTGCAGCTGGTTAAGAAAATTAGGCACATGTGACATTGTATTTCTTTGAGTGTAGCATTGAAGTGCCAGAGTGGAGCAGTTATACAGCCACTAAAACAAAACTGTTTTTCACAATAACTAAACATGCAGACGTTAATGTTGCATGCTGGGTGTTTTAGCATCAAACTGTGTGTAGTGTGGACTTTTCACGGGGTGAGGGGCTCTGAAAATGTCCCACTGTGCAGCGCCATGACTCTACTGTTAGTTCTACTCGTGTTAGTTTTACATCAAACATCTGTCCACTCCTGCTAAGGGTGCAGGATCTCCAGTGTGTGTGTGTGTGTGTGTGTGTGTGTGTGTGTGTGTGTGTGTGTGTGTGTGTGTGTGTGTGTGTGTGTGTGTGTGTGTGTGTGTGTGTGTGTGTGTGTGTGTGTGTGTGTGTGTGTGTGTGTGTGTGTGTGTGTGTATGTGGGTGGTGAGGGGAAAGTGAGTATTTTGTACTCAGACTGGAAACAGTAGCACATTCTTTGACTTACAAGGAGGTTGCAGAGGCTGAATAAAGTGAGCATTGCTCTGGGCGGCAGCAGGGAAGAGGAACTATAAATCAGAGGGCTGATTAAATGTCTGAAGCATTGCAGAGAACGTCTCCAATAATTTATTACTGCACTCTCAAACCATGAGCCCTGCACACATTTCACTCCTGCCACTCCCAGCTTTCTAAATCACCGCCTGTGGCTGGACGGTTCCTGTCCCGCAATGATGGCTGAGCACAGACAGGAGAGTCATGTTTCGGAAGCTACGGGAACGATTCTGGCTATGAGGACAGAAACCTGGAGATACTGAGCTGCTTCCTCTGCAAGCACATTTAGTCATAAAATCGCCTTGTTTAGTATATTTATTTGACTCAAGCGATTAAACTAATTGTGTTTTACTCGACCTGCAGTCCTTAAAGGGCTTCATCTGTCTTCAATATGGACTTAAAGAGGCCCTTTAATGCTTCTCGGGGGTTTCCCTTTCCTGCAGTGTTTTGCATGTAAATGGTCTGCAAAGGCTAACATCCCTGTGTTCCCTCCAGAGGGAGAATCTAAGAGATGCAGTAGCCAATCTTGAAAGGTATTTAGTTGAGATCCAAAGGAAGGCAGAGTGAAATATTAGTCTGATCTCAGCAAGGGCGTCAGAATTAGGGGGGTGGGAAGATGGGAAGGTGATGTTTGCCGCCCCTGGCTCGATGTGGAATCATGGCTTTTGTCATCTCATCGTGATATGCTACATTTCATAATTATGGAAGTTTGTCTCGGTTGCGATTGTAAGGATAGCCACAATAGCCCAAAGCCAGTTTAGTAATTCTTCTACATTATATTGACAGATAAGCATTAAAATAAGAGGCAATACTTTTAACTAAGTCATTATCTGAAATCCTATGATACTCATTTTAGACCATCATTAAGCCTTAGTGCTCATTATGTGACTAACTTCACCTCCATGACA